CAGGACATACAAGCTGGACTATAGCTACAATATCAGGACATACAAGCTGGACTATAGCTACAATATCAAGACATACAAGCTGGACTATAGCTACAATATCAGGACATACAAGCTGGACTGTAGCTACAATATCAAGACATACAAGCTGGACTATAGCTACAATATCAGGACATACAAGCTGGACTGTAGCTACAATATCAGACATACAAGCTGGAATATAGCTACAATATCAGGACATACAAGCTGGACTGTAGCTACAATATCAAGACATACAAGCTGGAGTATAGCTACAATATCAGGACATACAAGCTGGAGTATAGCTACAATATCAGGACATACAAGCTGGACTGTAGCTACAATATCAGGACATACAAGCTGGACTGTAGCTACAATATCAGGACATACAAGCTGGACTGTAGCTACAATATCAGGACATACAAGCTGGACTATAGCTACAATATCAGGACATACAAGCTGGACTATAGCTACAATATCAGGACATACAAGCTGGACTATAGCTACAATATCAGGACATACAAGCTGGACTGTAGCTACAATATCAAGACATACAAGCTGGACTATAGCTACAATATCAGGACATACAAGCTGGACTGTAGCTACAATATTAGGACATACAAGCTGGACTATAGCTACAATATCAGGACATACAAGCTGGACTATAGCTATAATATCAGGACATACAAGCTGGGCTGTAGCTACAATATCAGGACATACAAGCTGGACTATAGCTACAATATCAGGACATATGCTCTGGATATTATTATAAATATACTAAAACCATTGATACTTGGTATTAATGAACTGTTATAAAAAGATTCTTGACACTTCTAAGGTGATCCAGCAGTATTGTTCATATTACTGATTATCTGTTCTCTGTTCTCCGTCCAGTGTTTATCCATTAACAATTGCATTTTCATCTTTTTGAAAAACCAGTAGCCAGAATGCTGTCATGTTTGGTACTTTGGTTTGGTAAAAATGCATCAAAATCAATCAAATCTTTTATACTGAAACTGGATCTCTAAATTTGTGTATAATTGAACTTGCAAAATGGTTGTCTGGTGGCCATTTTGTGTTAACGAATGCTGTTTCAGTACCATATTTGACATTTCTTGACTGATTGCATGTACATTACAACACTGATTCTTTTAAAAATTGCATGATGGGAATTGTCATGTTACTTTTGTCTCAATCCACATTGATTCTTACACCAAAAAAAGGCCAGCTTGGATATCTGTATCTGGTTTGAACTGGTTTGGTGAAACTACCAATACTACATGTAGTACGCATATAGCTTCAGATTCCTCTTGTATACAATTGCAATGTAAAGTATTGCAATGATAAAGCTATGAAACAAATTAATTGTATCTATGCTACATCACATGTGGATTGGGGTTGGTGCACCGATGTGTTGCTATAACGACACGCACAATCACCGAGTATATAGCATGTTTGTAATCTTGACAGTGAATTTTGAGGAAAAAAAATGTACATTTCAGATTTGAATTAGAAAATTCTACAAAAATAAATTTTGAAAAACCTGCATTAGATAAAAGAAACCAACATCCTGAAAATTATATATTTTGAAATGAGTGATAAAAACACACTAATTTTCACTCTATCTTGATGGTCAAGCGGCTAACAAGTCATTAATGAAGCACGCCCTCTGTGACTATTCAGCAAATTTGTTAATTGAGGGCGCACTTGCAATGCTGTCGTTTGGCGAATTGGAGTCTGGCGAAACAATAGCTGGATGTTTTCAGCACGAACGTGCGATTCGTTTCTTTATATATAGAGAGAGAGAGACTGGGTATGCGGACGGACGACATTACGTTTAGATGTCATAAGTACGTTTTAGATTGCTGATAGGCTGTAAATCGTATTAGTGGTACTCAAAACGCTTTTTAATACGACAATACTGTTTTCTCGAGCACTAATCACGCAGTATGCGTGTTACTTACGTAAACGTCTATCAAGACACATTTGGAAAATTGAGAGGTTGGTTTTGTAGCTCAGCTTAGTTAAATGGTATATCAATAATTCTATCTGTGTAAATCCATTGTGTAAGCATCACTGGGCGGAAAACAAGGCATTCCATCTCATAATATATATGGAACAATAGTGAATATTGGAGTGTTACTATGGAAACATTTAGCCTGAGGCTCATCGTAAACGAATCCCAAAGACGTGCAATCTGTTCAGAGGGGATATGTATTCTCAGTCGTGCACCCATGGCATGTCTTCACTTTTTCAATGTCTGCTTTGATTCGATTACTCGGCTCACGTGGTCTACAATGTTTTCACTTTTTCTGTATTGTCTACTTTGATTCGATTTATCGGTTCACATGGCTTACAATGTCTTCACCTTTTCTATATTGTCCACTTTGAATCAATTACTCGGCTCAAATGGTCTACAATGTCTTCACCTTTTACATATTGTCCACTTTGAATCGATTTCTCGGCTCACATGGCCTACAATGTCTTCACCATTTCCATATTGTCCACTTTGAATCGATTACTCGACTCACATGGTCTACAATGTCTTCACCTTTTCCATATTGTCCACTTTGAATCGATTTCTCGGATCACATGGCCTACAATGTCTTCAACTTTTCCATATTGTCTACTTTAAATCGCTTACTCAGCTCACATGGTCTACAATGTCTTCACTTTTTCCCATATTGTCCACTTTGAATCGATTAGAAGGCTCACATGGTGTCTACAATGTCTTCACTTTTTCCATATTGTCTATTTTGAATCGATGAGAAGGCTCACATGGTCTACAATGTCTTTACTTTTTTTCCATATTGTCCACTTTGAATCGATTAGAAGGCTCACATGGTGTCTACAATGTCTTCACTTTTTCCATATTGTCTACTTTGAATCGATGAGAAGG